TTTCTAAAAAAGAAAGTGAGCAAAAGCCAAGGAAAATTCTTAAAGCTAAACATTAACGTTGGGCGCCACTTTGTGAAGGACAGTCGTTTTAGATAAGGTCATAGAAGAGTCTTGTATAGTGTAACAAGTATTTATTAACAGGTTTAAGTTACACTCGGAAATTACGTTTAACTTTAAGAAAATTACAGAGCAAGAGTCTGGTACAATCTATCAAGTTAGACGCTTGGCTTTTACTGAAGTACTTCTCTGGCTACTCACCAGTGGGCAGCCTTGTTGTCACATTTAGTCCAACAGTTTATGGTTACAAATGAATTTAAAAATGTGTTTAAGTAAAGGAAGTAGATATAAATTAGCTAAAATATCCGGATAAATTTCAAATTACAATGCTACATAAATATTTTGTAGTGTTGTGTATGGTTTGTCGCTTTCAATGTACCGTGTGGCCATAATTAAACTGAATGTGCTCACAGTGTTCTGTAACGCGATCTATTTGCGAGAATGACGCCACATTTTGTAGGAAGATTAAACAAGACGGGGGACAAAAGACGGGATCGCACTACAGAACACTGTGAGCACTGTCAGTTTAATTATGGCCACCCAGTATAATATTGCTCTAATACCTTTTTTAAAACTGATGTAATAAATTATATTTCTAATTATCTATTCTTTTTAACTGCAAGATTTTCTTATTTTGTGATTTTAATAGTGTTTGTAAAAAAAAAAAAAAAAAAAAAAAAAAAAAAAAAGTACGTACCTAGAATTATTGCTTTTATTTTAGTCTTAGAATGATATTATAAGCGAGAAGTTTTCCATTGATAACCACTTTAATTTGTTCAATCCCCATCTGCTGATAGATCGTTGATTGTTTTTCATTGATGATCCTAAAAAGCTCTTAATTTCGCTATATAGAAATGTCTACAAACCCTGTAATTAAGTCAGTAAATATTTATTATTAATATATGTTAGTTAAATATATGTCTATACATAAAAAATTCAATAGTTTAATAATTATTATTAATTAATGTAATATTTCAAGTACTTTTATTAATTTCTTTGAATTATTGGAATTTTTTGCCAGTTTCAACTAGTGACAACTAGTTTCTGCTATTCACAAAGCCAAAAACTGTGATTAGAGTTAAATGTGAATAAAAATTTTTCTTTTAATTGTATAAACAGGATACGTAAGTTCTATTATTCTCCTCAATTATACTGCGTCAGTATAGTAGTTTATTTTTCTGAACTTTTTTTTTGTATATAAAAAAAAAAAAAAAAAAAAAAAAAAAAAAATACAAGACTCGGGTTCGTACGGTCCTTAAAAGTCCTTAATTTTTCCTTAAAAGTCCTTATTTTGGCCAAAAGGAATAAACGGTCCTTAATTTTGCTCATTTGACATTTCTTATCATTTCTAATGATTGCCATTCTAAGTGTGAATTACGATTTCTCATGAATATGGAATTAAAATTACACAGCTCTTAACTAATCTGTTGGCGGATTTGCATTGCAAACGATTAAAAAAAAACAATTAGCTACCCGAACGAAAGTATCGGTGTCTGATTGGCTATTCACGCAATCTTTCGAAACAGGTGTTATCCATAAATTTAGGCAGACTGTGACGAAAGCGTGAAGCTGGAAGTTCTTTAAGAGGCGAAAGTGATGATGAAGGTGCTCGAGAAAAAAAAAAAAAAAAAGGGGGGGGAGATTCTGAAAATATTTGCCAAAACTAGAGCAATTCCAACCTGGAAGGCCCCAACCCTTCCGACGCCAATAGGAACGAGATGCCTGGAAAGTGCATTTTCAATAAACTGTGGCTTCATCAAGCTGACTACAAAGACTGGATATTGATGGATGGCAATCCTTAAATGTGGTCTTTGTCTGAAACAAATTGAAATTTCTAGAATGGGAGAGTCAGCACTGAAAATTCACATTGAAAATTAAGTTTCGTTTTATCATTTCAATTTGTTTTTACACGGTTTTGCTTAGCTTAATTTCTGTGTTTGTTTCAATTAAGCCATAAATTAATTTTTTATCACCTTCTACGGAGTTTATTCTCTTTTGCACATACTATATGTATGGGATATCGGGATTATGAGTTTATTTCTGCAGAGGGTCTGTTATCGATTTCGCGGGAAATCTGTTGGCTCCATTTCGATTTTAGGTCGCCAAGGGCAAAATTCGGTAACGCTAGCCTGAGAAAAAGTGAAGTTCGGAAATACGTTTTGAAGCTTCAATAGACAATTAAGTATTTGGTTTAAACCTATGTTTTTGATAGTAATGCATAATTTTTGCTAATGGCGATACAATTATTAGTTGAAAAAATAACTAATTAAAATTTTTTAAATATTTTTAAAGCTGAAAACAACTAATTGAAACTAATTTTCCTGAATTAACTAGACGCAAAATTAACTTTCATGAATTACTAAAGTTATTGGGTAGAAGTTTAACTGAAAATATACATTCCGTATATATATATATATATATATATTTATACAGTGTACAAAGTCCGAGGTCTGGACTCGTCGGGACTTCGGCGATCCTAGATTTGAGATTTTTCCGGATATTAGATCATTTTAAATCTACTAAGATGGCACGTAGAAATTATAAAATTGAAAATATGAAATCGTGATTTATGAAATAATGAAGCATTTATGATTTAAAGGGTATCAAAATTTACCAAAGAAAAGAGCTTAATATTTATATGTTTACTTTAATAAACATTTCTTTCAATGTGAGTTGTTTGATTTGTTTTCTCTGCTAATACTTTAGACTAATACTATAGACATATAATTTCTTGTTCAGTTATTAAGTTCCATTGTTCAAGTCCTGTAATTGCTGTGTCGAGAATTCCGAATAACTTGTCAATCAAAATTTTTTCTCGTTCAGTAACCTCTCTGTTACTTTCTTCACTATCGGTAGCTGTATTTTCTGGATTTAGAACCATACTACAGATTCCGCCCTCCGTTAATTGATTGATGATTGGGCATTGTCATTGCAATGAAAAACTTCTGTTTAACTTCGCTAAATTCTGCCGCCTGGTGCGGCCATGCGAGCTCTGGAGCTGGTTCTGGCTTTATGTGAATAACAAATCAGTTATTCTTAATTCAAATAGCACTAAATATAATCGTTTGTCCTATGAGTATCATTAACAAAATCTATTTTTAGCATAAGGAAAGAAATTTCTGCTAAATCTCCCCTTGTCAACATTTTAGCGCATTAAATTTAAATCTGTAATCGTATAATACTCTGTTATTTGGCATCGCTGCATGATTCATCACTCAAGTTGTCATTCGTTGATAAACATGCGGTGATGAAAGCAAAATACAATAAATAATGATTCGCGATTTCGGCATCAAGGATATAAAATATTAGTTGGTGTAAAATTAACAAATGTTTCGGTTTGAGATTATGCCAAGCAGATACGCAGCTATGGAGTCAAGTTACTAATCACACAAATTTATGCTAAAATAATTATTTCTTCAATAATGAGATATTTTATTTAGCACCAAACTAAGATTAAGAATCGGATTTCTGGCATTTTTTTTATGATGAGGGAAAAAAATCTAATGCGCATGCGTAAAGCATACCCCTTCCCTTCAAAAAAGCCCTAAAAAATTGGTTGGTGGTGGCTTTGAGGTCCAGATTTTAGATCATTCCAGATATTAGATGTCCGGATCTCGGACTTTTATATATATATATATATACATCTTTCAAAATATAACTTACCAGTATGGATTCACTCTTTTAAAATAATTCTACTTTAATTAAACTTAGGAGATAATATAATCAATTAATCTATATTGTTTAGGAATAAATTATATTATATATATATATAGTAAAAAATGTATATTTTCACTATTCAAGTATTCACTGTGACAAGTATTCTTATCTTGTCACATGAACAGGCCTCTGTGGAAAGGGGCTTCTCTGTAAATAAAGCAATTGAAATTGAAAATTTAAGTGACTCATCATACATTTTTCAACGCACAGTATTTGATTACATAAAATTTTCTGGAGGTGTTCTTAATATCGAAATTAATAAAGAAATGAGATCAGCAGCAGCTTCTGCAAGAAGTGGAGTTCGAGTTCGTTATTTAGAAGTTCAGTATTTAGAAGAACAAAAATCTTTAACTAAATCTGAAAATTCAAAGAGGAAAAGAAATATTATTGAAGAAGAAATTGATTATATGAAGCAGAAGAAAAACTTTCCTTCAAAGGGACATTAAAGACATTAATGAAGAAGTAGATGCTTTAGCAGATAAAGCTGAGACCATCAGGAACATTGATTTGTTTATCAAAGCAAATGAACTTAGAAGAATAGTTAAAGAAAAGGAAAAGACATAAATAAATTAGAGTTAAAAAGCTGAAAAGATTTCAGATTTAAAAAAAGCACAAATGTTTTGTATCTTTTATTGTAAGTTTATTATTCTAGTATCTTTCAAAAAACCAAAGAAATAAATTGTATGTTTACAAATCAGTTATTTTAATCTGCAAAATATTCTTACATTGTGATTATAATAGTAGTTGACTGTGTTTAAATAAATATCAAATAATAATCATGTAAATCTCTAAAATAGTGACTGTTATTAGTGTAAAATACACTTATACATGTTTTTCAAGAAATTATGTTCCTCATTTAATGTTATCTACTTCATAACTTGTAGGGAGTTAGTTTAATTTTCAAAATTGTTTTATGGTAAGTATTAAGTTGAATTTAATAATAGTGCATAATACACACTTCTGTTAGTTTTTTAAAGTGAAATTACAAGCATGAAGTCGGTTGTATGGATAATTGCTTTATTCTATTCATTTTTTTGTTTGCTGATAGGTCCTTAATTTTTTCTTTGATGGTCCTTAAAAGTCCTTAAAAGTCCTTAAAAGTCCTTAATTTTCATGTAAGGAAATGTGTACGAACCCTGTACTAGCATTATAGTATTTAATAATAAAAGGTGAAATTAAAAAAAAAAAAAAAAAAAAAATCCAAAGTAGGTTTCTATCTATTTCAGGATGGACGTATTTGTCGACTGGCGTTTTCTGTCGTTTCAGAGCGTTTAGATTTGAGCAAGAATGAAACTTCTAAAGCGTAAGTATACAGTATTATTCATATTCTTTTTCCCCTCTGCTCTGCTCCCATGATTAGGTTATATAATTTTCTAATGTTAAATGAATTTTTAACAGCTTGAATTTAAAAGGATCTAGTAACTCAAATTCTACTACTCGAACAACTGCACCACGTAATAGAGGTCGTATAATGCGCACAACTAGTGGCAGAGGTCGAGGAAGTGGTGTTATAATGGGATCTTCTAGGCCTGTTGTTCCTGCTCCTTATGTTCCTGAAGAACTGATATCACAGGTATTAACCATTTGATTTTGGATATTTTTAGAAGGTTTTAGATTAACATTTAATATATTTTATCTTTTTTTAACCATTTCTAATATAATGATATATGTGAATGTAAAGGTACATTTCTTTTTTATATTCATGTAACACTGTATGAATCAAATATCAGGATGTATATGTATTGAATATAAAAATAAGTTTCTTTTCTTCCTTCCTTGTCCTTAAAAAGGAAGTAAATCGTAGAAAGTTTCTGGCATCATATTTCGACGAAAATATCCATTTTCACCTTTAACCCCTTCGAGCCGGGTAGCGAAAATGCGCGCTTATCGCGGAGGCCGGCAGTGTCTTCCGCGAGCGTCTCTCCAGGGCCGGGGGCTTTTTTGCTACTAAGCCTAAATCCATGAAATTTCCGAAGTATCAACGCATTGTTTAATAATGCTCTATAGAGTATTTAAACGGCTTATGCTTTATAGATATTTTTATATATATACTTTAATTACCTTATTTCTTGTTTAAATGCATATTTTACACATTTTATTTTAATTACTCACCATTTTATGACTTTTAACATTATACATCTGAAAACTAAATATATTACTTAAAATTCTCTTTTTGTATGAAAAATTTTAAAACAGGGATCTACACACAGTCCTACGTTACATTCCTTGAACTCGTAATAACTTATTTGCCGTTTTGGAGGATTTTTCCGGGAATGTGAACAAACGAAGCACCGTCGTCTCATTTTTTTATCAGTCTCTTCTGAACAAAGTTTTGGAAAATGTCTTTCAGTTAATCTTTCAGAATCAATATCTGAAATATTTTGCATCATTTCTGCTATTTCATGCTCTGTTAAACATTTTCGATGCTTCGACATTGAAACGGTAAAAATAGAAAGAATTCACGTCTAACAAGATCTAATTATTTTCTAAAAGCTGAACTGTAAACCGAAATACTCAACGCTTTAGCGCATGTAAAACTTCTACTTACAATAAACAACTACCACGTGCGATTTAAAGAGACGTCATAAATCAAGCCATTTGGAAACATTTAGTTCCCCGTTTGTTTATATAATCAAAAACACGTGTATGTGAGTCATGCTTCTCTCATTTCGAGTAGAATATCTAATGTACATGTATCTGAAACCATATGGGCATACAGTGCCATCTTGTGGCAGAAATTATAGTTTGAAAAACGTTCCAAGGTACTGGCACAAATACGTGACATTCGGTAGAAAACGCAACAATGCTCTGGCACGCCTGCGTGTCGGCCGGTAGATAAGTGTGTTCGTTGCTGGCACATATACGTGACAGTCGGTGCGAAGGGGTTAACGAATGCAATTTAACAATATATTTGCGGGGCATCTGTACATAAGGACAGAATAAAGGATTCTTCCCCCCCCAAAAAAAATATAAAACTGATTTAAAATGAATTCTGAAGAGAATTTTTTGTGGTGTCCGTGTGTATCTCGCATAACTCAAAAACGAGTATTCTCAGAACTTTGAAATTTTGTATATAGGGCTGCTATAACATGTAGATGGGTACTTCATATTTTGGTTGCAATCGCTGCACCAAAAGTATATATATACCGTATGTGACGGCATATAAGACGCACTTTTTTCCCTAAATTTCATCTCAAAAAAGTTACCTGCATCTTATACGTGAAGGACACAGGTTAACTTTCAATACTGAATGCTATTTTTGGCCTGGATAAAGGTCAAGACACACATAACTTTTTCTACATCTGCCATAATTATTTTGCGCATGCGTGAAATATCCGTCGCCAAAAAACACCAAATATCGAAGCTGATGTCGAAGTTCGAACAGGTTCGACGGTCACATTACGTCTATGGAGCCTTTCCTTCTTTACATAGACTTTCTTTGACTCAGCCGACACTCGTGTCGGTATCGGTGCTACTCTGTATAAACGTGTCGGTATCTGTGCTTAAAACTATTTGTTTAAAAAAATACCCTGGAAAATATGACTACAGGAAACAAGAGATTAAACTATACAATTCAGTATAAACTAGGAGTGTTAAACTACGTCAAAGTGCATGGAAACAGAGCAGCAGCAAGGCATTTCGGTTCACCACCTACCGAAAAATGATACGTACTTGGCGACTGCAGGAAGATCAACTGAAGACTGATAAAAAAACAAAAACATAACCTTCAATGCCCAGCTCCATCTTGGCCTGAGCTTGAAAATGCCATAAAAATGTGGGTGATAGGTAAGAGGAAATCTGGGATAAGTGCTTCAACCAAAATGTTTATCAATGAGGCCAAAGGATTTGCAGAAAAACATGGGAATCAGAACTTTTCAAGGTCTGAGGGCTGCACAAAAGCAATCATTGCACAGAAAATGCCAGCAGATTATGAAGAAAAAGTATTAGCATTTCATAGGTTTGTTATAAATGCACGCAAGAAAACTTCTTTTGAGTTCGGTCAAATAGGAAATATGGATGAAATTCCACTCACATTTGATGTACCATCTAACAAGACTGTGAGTATTAAAGGGTCTAAATCAATAACCATAAAAAACACAGGTCATGAAAAAACCCGATATACGGTAGTTCTAACGGCACAAAACTATCGTCGTTTTTCATATTCAAAAGAAAAACTCATCTGAAAGAAAAACTTCCGGTGGGTGTAATTGTTCATGTTCATCCAAAAGGCTGGATGGACGAAGCTGGAATGAAACTGTGGTTACAGAACGTATGGGCGAGGCGACCTGGTGGACTCTTAAGAAAACCCTCTCTTTTGGTTTTGGATCAGTTAGCACCCATAGAACTGAAACCATAAAGATTAAAGCGAGATAATTAAAAATCCAGATAGCTGTCATTCCTGGTGGACTGACTAGCCAATTGCAGCCTTTAGATGTATCGGTGAATAAGCCATTTAAGGAAAAAGTGCGAGAACAATGGAACAAGTGGATAGGAGAGCTACATCATGCCCTCACACCCTCAGGTAGAATGAAGTGGCCCTCTATAACACAAGTGTGCGAGTGGGTAAAAATATCTTGGGAGGACGTAAAGGCTGAAGTAATTGTTAAGTCCTTGAAGAAGTGCAGAATTAGTAATGCTCTTGATGGAACAGAAGGCAACACATTATTCGAAGAAGGTGATACTAGCGATGACGGAAACAGTAGTGATGACGATATTCTCATTTTCGATGATGATGATAGTGAAAAGGATTTTTATGATTTTGAAAGTGATTAATGTCTAATTTCATGATAGGCAACGTTTTCCTTGAATCTGTGTTTTTTGTTGTTTCTGCTTTATTTTGTATTATGTTTGATTGCTTGCCACTCATTCATTTATTCATCATAGAAATTTACATATTTTGTTCAAAATAGCTTGCCGTTTGTTAATTTTCCTTAATAAAAATATGTTTGGTAATTGCATTCAATGATTCTTTATTTGTCTTTTACTAAAACATCAGAGGGCCCACCAGCGGCCGAGCAGTAAAGTCGCTGAACATTGGTAGTTTGGTCCGAGGTTCAAATCCCGCAAACGGGCTGGCTGCATGGGCGTTTTCGTGGTTTTCCCCATGTGTAATGTGTATACGAGCCAGTTTTCCTTAGAAAGTCCTCCACGAAAGGCATCCCTTTCCCTAGGCAGATAGCCTAGGGTGCTTTGCCATAATTAAATACTTCACACCATACTAAACTTCAGAACTAAAAGAAACCACATTTTAAGTTATTGTGGTACCGCACTGTCGCACGTACTATTGAAACTTTTTTTCCTTGTAAATAAGGGTGCATCTTATATGCCGTCAAATGTGATAATTAAAAAAAGGAGAACAAACTAAAAAAAAAAACCCACTTTTAAGCGGAAGCATTAAGAATATTCTTTTTACCTTATATATATATATATATATATGTGTATGTGTGTGTAATGATTTTAAAATGCGTAGTTGAAGGCACTGGAACTTTAACAACTTACGATACTGCGTAGATGACCGAGAATATCATAGTGGGTTGAAGGTGGCAGCGTGGAAAGTATGATGATGCAGTTTAGCACAACATATCTTGAAAAATCACAATCTTTATTTTTCATGCATATCAAATCATCCTTTTTCAGACACGATGTTTCCTAATTATATTTTAATATAGTAAGTTGCATTGTGAAGTACAGCGTCGTTTTTAAGCAAGTAAATGGCAGCAGCATACATAAAAAGCATCTTGCTGGCAGGAGAGCTTATGCGGAAAAGGGGTGAGTACCATAGAACTTCAGAGGAAGAAGGGTGGGAGTCAGAAAAGTTTTTCAGTGTTTTGGTTTACAATTAATTTAATTGGACAAGAGGTATCTGCATTAAAATATTACGTAAGATAGAAAAATCTTGAACCTGTTAGAAGAGATGAATTTAGGGGCAGATCACCAAATATAGAATGTTAATTTTGAGGTCGCCAATTATTTTTTTGAAGCAGCTATCATATTTTGTTATATCTTACACATATATATATATCCACTCTATTACTCGGCTCAGTGATCTCAGTTTCTTTATTCTTATATGTTTGTAAATTGCGCATTTTTTGCTTTAAAAATGATTGAATTATGTTGTTCTTATCTTCCAGTTAAGGTTTTTATGCCTTTAATAAATCTCCATGCAATATTAATAAAATTATCAACATTTTAAATGTTGTTTAAGTGCCGCTAAGCCTAATTATTTATGCCATGGTGGCCATGTTGGTTTACATTTGATACTGAGCATAATAGTATATTTGTTGCCATTCTAGAGAAAGTAAGCTTCGCAACAACAAAGAGAATTCTTTTTTTTTATTATTGCGAATTAAATCCTGCTTATTATTCAACGAAATAAGTGTTTAACTCTTTCGCATCGAAGTCGCCCCAAACGCCCGAAACGCCTGAATAACTTCCTACCCAGTGCTTTCCCCCCATCACGTTACTGCATTACTCATTGCTTTCAGGTGTTGTTAAATCACATGTCAATCATTATTTTGAAGCTACTAAAAGTAGCTTCCTTGTTTCCTTTGTTCCTTCCTTTCCTTTGTTTACTGTCAGTGTTTAGCTTTTGATGCCTGAAGTTGCAATCCCATCCCGAGGGGAACACACAGTGTCAAAGCGTCGAAGAAAGAAGTTCTCGCTTTACTTAAGTAAGGCTATTGTTAGCGCTGTAGTATTCAACTTATCATGGGGGAAGGAAAAGCATTCCAGGAGAAATTCTTAGATACGGGTGTTTTTGATGTTTGGGGAATTGAGATTTTGCCCTCTCTCGATGCGAAAGAGTTAAGATTTACTTTAATTTTAAATATAGGTATTTTGAGTTATGTGTTTTTGCCTTGTCGCAAAGAGAGAACTGAATTAATGGAATGAAAAATACTGAATCATCTGTGAAAAACTGTTTCTTTCTTTCTTTCTTTCTTTTTTTTTTTTTGTCTTTTTCTTAATTTCTTTTATACATCGTTTTAGATTTATTATAGTATTTTAGTAGAACATGTGCCAATGATTAGATTATTCCTCAGATGATATAAATTTTATACATTCTGAGTTATAAAAATTAGCCATGAGATTGCTATTACTCAAGAGATTGCTTTTAAAGATGATGATTTCACATACCATTTAATTGCTCCAGCCATAGATGTACCTCTGAATTTTTGGAATTTCACGAAGTTACGTTTTTCGAGGTTATGAACTTTCAGTGATATATGGCAGTAAAGATCTTCGGATCTCGCACTTCGCTACATAACTGCCGATCTACCAATCTACCATTATAAAAGTGAATGAAATGTAACGCTGTTAAGTGAACCTAGTGCCAGAGTGTCAATATGGTAAACAAATTTAATGAATTTTAAAGAGCGCATTTATTCTGTTGTGGTTTGTTTGTTATTGTCAAAGTAGAGTTAATTTAATCCAATAAGTTCAAATGAAATGCAAGAAAAAATGTGTATAATTTAATATTCTGTACAAGGAAGTTATGTGGTGTTTTTTTTTTTTTTTTTTTTTATTATCAACATCCAGCTGAAAAGTATTCATGAGTTGCTGAAATAGAAATAGGCATTTTCTGGCAATACTAGTTTGTGCATGCTTGGATTTTTATCTTCAAATAAGAGGATCATCTTTCTGACTAGTGTCTGTTTTTCCACTGAGTATATTTTTTAGAAGTATGTAAAGCATGCAGGGGCTATCTCCCTAAGGAAGGGATGTCTTTGTGGAACACTTTCTAAGGGAAACGTCCTTGGCGATAGCACTTTTTACATGGATTCGGACCCAGTTTGGGATCACTGTGGGTCTTCCCCCTTCTTTGTGTGTGTAAGGAACTGTAATGACAAAGAAAGCATTTCATTTCTTCAGAATATGGTTTTTACCATATAGTAGAAAAGGCAAAAAATTGCATTCTTTGAAGTTGTATTTCTTAAACGATCAAATTTTATGGATCAAAATTGTGCTTAATGCTCAATTAGTAAATTCTCTGAGGTTTTCATATGTGAACTGCATGCATAGGGAGAACAGCAGCATACACAATGCCAAACTTATGCAGGTCTCGGATGTTTTTTTTGAATGAAAACAGATTGGTGTGTACAGGGGGGGGGATTTACAGATTTCTTGAAAAACGTAATTGCTTTATTATGAATGTTTCTTGCTTTTTTAAGTTAATGAATTCCCTGCTCTTTCATGGAGTTCATAGTATGCTGTCATTTTCACTACAGCTGTTGCCTTTTAGCATATTAGCTTTAAAAAATTAGTTGCAAAAGAGTTGATGACTTTTTTAATGGTGTACGGATAATCAGAACATAAGTTTTTTTAATTAGAAAAGTTAAAATTAACTCTTGAGTTTAAAAAAAAATAGTCAAAACATTGACAAATAATTTTAAAGAACTTTATATGATTTAATATCTGTGTAAAATGAATAGAAATACAATTTTTACTTTGTGTAAAATTAATAAAAACCTAGTTCGTGGCATTTGTGTACATACATGAATGAAAATAAACAAATCATGTGCTTTGTTTAAAGAGATATATCAATGACTGGTACTTTTTTATACCGAAATGGCAACTCCTAAGTATTTTTTTTTTTTTCTTTTTTTTTTTTGTCTTTAGCATAAATATTATGTTTTAATTTAATTTTCATATATATTTTTATTTTTAACTGAAGCAAGTGTCTTTCATATTTCTTGTCGTGGCTGTAGTTAACAGTAATGAAATAAGCAAAAGATAGCACATATCTTATTAAACATAAACTTATATTTTTAGTAGAGTAGGAGATAGCACGTATCTCACAAAACAAAACCTTTTTTTTCCAGTACAGTAGATTCATTACTCAGAACGCATTTTAGTAGCATAACTTTTTTTATAGTGTATGTTATCTTCTATAAAATTAAATCACAAGGTTATCTATTTAAATCTTCATTGTAAAGTACAAAGTCTTATAGTACAGCCTAAAGAAAATAACCAGAAAGTAATAGAAGAAAATCTGATATCCTAATGCATGGGAAATTGAAGTAAAGAAACAATCAACTGTTAATATTACTGAATAGCTATTGAACTAGTTATAAAAAAAATTAGGTATATTTAAAAAATAATTATCCGTGACCTGTTCATTGTTATGTGAAAAGACAGAGTCAGGACGTAAAAACAATGGCAGAACTAGATAAATTGTTTTATCTTATAAAAAATGATCTGACTTTAACAAATGCTAAAACCTTTCTTTTTAAGACCAACTGATTATAAGTGCTTTTATACTCTTTAATACCTTGATTGTTATAATTATCATTTCATATTTTTCTCAAGGCTCAAGTTGTTTTGCAAGGAAAATCTCGCAATCTTATACTCCGAGAGCTCCAAAGAACTGTAAGTTCATATTATTAATTAATTTTACTGTTATGTGTCTATTAATTCACATTTTTGACAATTACAAGCCTGAATTTAATTTAAAATTATTCATTAGAATTTAGATGTTAATCTAGCTGTGAATAATTTACTGAGCCGAGATGATGAAGAAGGGGAAGATGTGGATGACAGTCAAGACTCGTACATGCCAGGGGGTAATAATTTTTGTATTTTGTACTATTTGAATTTTGCTTTTTGTACCAAGGAGAGCTAAAATTTAAATGTATTTAATTTTATATAAAAAGTGAAACATTTTTAATTGTCATCATGGCAAGGGGACAGTTTTTTCTCATTTGAAGTCTTCATGTAACAGCTTAATTCCCCCACCCCAGGTTTAAAATTAAATTTAGTTTTATTTAACATTTTTGTCATGAATAATACCAATAAATGTTATTTTATGTTGTTGTTTTCTATAATGCTGTTTTATATCAGATTTAATACTATTTAATTTCTCTGTTAGAAATTAGATTTTATTAAGTAACTATCAGAGTATAAATCAAAACTCAAAGCTTCATATAGATCTCAAATTTTTCTCAGAAGAATATAAATTATTTTTGTGTCATCTTAATTTTGTGCTCTTTGACATTAATTAACTTTTTGAAGCCCAAAATTCCCAAAATGGCCTTTCATTCAAACAACCACAACTGCCCGAAATGACCAAGATTGTGATCTTGTTTCCTTCCTTCCCCTAAGGTATGAAGTTTATCCAACAGCATTGTATCAGTGTAATACAAACAGCTTATAATAAAAAGCCAATTGAAGCTTCTACAAGACAGATAAAGGACAGGGAAGTGTGTTTTGGTAATTGAAGCGTACAGGTTAGCGAAGGCTTTGGTATTCTAAGGGTTAAAGATTTTGTTTAAAAAATATAACCTTTAAAAAACTAGCTTTTTTATGTTGCACATTGTAAGGAAAACTGCGAAAAATTTTACACCATTGGCTAAGAACTGAAATAGGAGGAATATATAATATATAGGTTTTATATGCTTGAAAAATCTCAAAGCAGTCTACTGAAGAAAATAATTTAAGAGTAAATGCTCATAGCTTTCAGCTTTGTACAATAATAATAAGAATTATGAGTAAAGATGGTAATATTAAAAATCTTTGAATTAATTAATATTGTTCCTAAACTAGCTGAATATCAAAGTTTAACTGCATGCTATATGCAATATATATATATTAAAAATGTACAGTATGCAGTATACCTGATATCGAAAAGTTATAATATAGTTTAATTTTTCAAAGTAAAATATGTCTTATAGTACAAAATAACTGCAGGAGACATAATGCTTCATTCTTTTTTGGCGGGGTAAATTTACTGAAATAGTACTGTTGGATTAATGTGATAATTGCAGCTAAGAAATATAGATGATTGGCTTCAAATTTAATATTATAATCAGTTTAGCTGAGTTTGCTTTCCACTGATATCACTTCTTGACAACTTATTCTTCTCCTGGATGATTTGTTTACCTTGTCAAGCAATAAATACTTTAGATTCCAATGTATCATATTCCTCAAAAAATGAGTTAAAGAAAGAAAGAACTATTTTTGTTAACTAATGACAAACAATAATACATGCCTTGAAAGAGCTGCAATTCTCACAGCCTGAACAATCCCATTTCAGTTCTTCCTTTTTTTTTTTTTTTTTTTTGAGGTTTTATGGGTTTTATTTTGATGACTATAAACATTGGTTCTGTAGCCTTGAACACCTGTATGCAGAGTTGCCAACTCTCCCAGTTCAGGCAGGAGACTTCCGATTTTTGACCACTCTTCTATCAACCCGATTTACAACATATTTCTCCGAACTTTCTCTTCTTTTTAAAAATTTCTCATGATTTTTCTGTAGCTTGGCTTAATACTTCGTTATTTGTACTAAACAAAAAGTGATTTTGAGCATCTGAAAGCATTTGATTTTTCTCTATGTTACATATAAAAGAAAACCAAAGTCGTTTCCTTAATGAAAAATAATGGTGTGCTTCTGTTTTGGGAGTGAGAGCATATGTGCTCGAAAATGTATTCCAGTTCTCCAGTGAGCATTGAGCACAATTACATTTCATCTGTAGTATATTAGCCAGTGAGCACAAAGATAAAGGTTCTTATTTTGTCCATCTGGTCACTGAGTGGTTTGAGTGTGCATCCTTTTGAGAAATAGCTTAAGAAATTACAATCTTTTGTTTTAGTTATGACTGCAAAAAGGTAAAACACTCATGTGCTTTTCAAAAATTGTACACAGATGACTTAGCTTCTATTATTTTTTCAAGGATATATAATACATTTGCAATGCATACTGTTTGTGATTGAATTTTTCGATTTCGCATGGTGGAATGGCCAATGTTCTCAAGCATGCATGTACACAAAAATACAAGCACAGTATGAGTTGTATTGGGGGGGGGGAAATGAAATTGTTCTATGGAAACAAAATACCAAAAAGTTATTAATGCAGAATGCTTGTTCTCTCTGCCTTTTCACTGGAGCACAATTTGCCTTAGAATGCATCGGATCACGCTGCAGCTTTATTTAGAAAAATATTTCCCAATAGCAAAATTGCTAAGAAATACTCAAGTGCAAGGACAAAAATGGCTGCAGTTGAGAGAGTAAGAAAAATAAATCTTCAGTTGTTGATTGTATTAAAACATTTCCATTCTGCCTCTATATGGATGGAAGCAATACTATCTGGTCATGAGATTTTTTGTTACTTGATACATATTAGCTTATAACTTAAGAAATTTTGCTTTCTTAATTTCTTTCATAATGTAAATGTAATCTTAATGAATGTAAGTTTATGAAAATAGAGGCTAAACTAAGTAATTATATAAATTTAGCTAATAAATGCTGCATAAATAACAGGTTTTCATGGCAGATCCAAAAACCTGTGCAGCTCAGAGGGTTAATATAGCCCAACTAATTATTAAAACTTTAAAAGAAAATGCAATTCCTCAGTATAATTGCTTAGCTCTTAGTGCTGATATTACACCAGTAATGGTAGGCTTGAAGGCTGACATTGCACGTCTCTTAACACGTTGAGCGCGACGCTTTCTAGGGACCGGCACTGGAATTTTCGTTTGGCTGGCGTCTGTCCGCGGGACCAATAGTATTAAAGTTAAAAAATAAATATAGTCTCAATGAATTAAATTTAGTTTTTAGTTTTTGTGATCAAAATTAGTTTTAATGAAATGTATTGACATATTCTAAACAAAAATACGGCTTAGCTTTACGGCATAGCTCGCTGCCGGCTGAACGGAAAGGACAGCAAATTCGGCTTCTGATGTCTGTATTTTTACAGAAAAATCAGACTTTTTCTGAAATAACATGCCAATTTTTTCCATATTTCGATTCAACGACTCAAATTATGACTAAATATTAAATTTTATAAAATTTGGTGCAAAATATACAGAGAAATTCAAAAACTTATCTTGTTCCATTTTTTCAGTTTGTGGCAAGAATAATTCACTTGGTGAACTTCTTAATTTATGGCAATCTATTTTCCTTTTCCTTTTTACATTGTGCATGAGGGGGGGGGGTCACTTCGTTCCTACTTTTAAGTAATTTCAACAAAGTGCGTAAACCACATTAGATGTTATTATCACTTTCAACAAATATGCCAAATTTTAAAATACGCTAATATATAAATTCAAGTATATCTTCAGAAATTTTGAATAAAAAAGCTCATTTTTTTGCAGGTATGCTTACATGTGTACTTTAAGATGATGGTAAAAACTTTAAAGGTTATATTTCAAAAGTTTTTTCGAAAAATTTATGAAAATTATTTAAAACTACAAATTTTAAAAATAAATCAATGTTGATTATTAGAATTTTAATGAAAATTTATTTGATTTAATCATAATACATCATACTTTTACATTTTAGATGATTTAATTTCTCTTTTGGATGCGGGCATTCATAGTGACCATCCTAGTGTTATCATTGATGCAGATGCTATGTTTTCTGAAGATATGTTTGGTTATTCTACTCTTAGGAGCAGATCTGGTAGCCGTGGGCGATCTGGTAAGTATGTTTAAGTGAAGCCCTGTAATTTTCTCTTCTATGTAATTTGTTATTTTAGATAAAGTGATAAAATTATCAGAATTTTGGTAGCTGATTAACGACTCACGCCATTGTTGTTGCATAGGCTAATTGCATGATGTCTGAATTTTTTCCCATCTGTATTTTATGAGTGGAAAGCCAGTTTTCTTTAGAAAATTTTATATGGAGACATCCCAACTTTTAAGTGTATTGCTTCATCATTACTAAAAAGTGAATTATTTAACCATTTATTTCTGATATTTATCTTTGATTTGGATGGAAGATATTCATGTTGTAAAATTTTATGGAGGAAAAGGGCAAAGGTAATTTTTAACGTAATACTATTTATTTTTTACTGTTTTATCTTTTTTATAGGTGAAAGAGATAGAGATAGAGATAGTGATCGAGATCGGGATGCAATGTTTCGCTTAAGAGAACGGCAATATTCAGGATCACGGCGATGGCTAGAGACTGCTTTAAGAGATAGCGGTGCTAGTGATAAATCAGGAGAAAGTGTTGGAGCACCAGAGAGTAAAAAACGAGATGTTGGTGAATCAAATCCACTTTGGCTCTCTGATGAGCTGGAGTTTTGGCCTGAAAAGGTTAGAATTTATGTTTCATGTATTGTCTTATTTTTGATGCATTAGTATTTAAATTATTAAAATAATTCAATTAATTATAATTTATTTTAATAATATATAATAATATTAATTAATTATCATATTATTAAAATAATAAGTAAATAATCATTGTTTACTATATCTTTAATGTTTCATTTCATTTCCAATTAGTCTTGCATTCCAAAATCAAATTATTTTCCTTAAATAGGGCTGAATCCAGTCAATATTTTATTTTGTACTTAATTTTTTTGCTCTCTTTGCTCTCTTGATCATTTGTAATGACATAAAGGCTACTGTAATAGAACATGAACAAAATGAAGTCTTTATAATGATTAGATTGTAATACAGTAAACCATCATTAACACTAATCAGAAGGGACTGAAAAGTCAAAAGTTTTATGTTAAAAAAATTTCGTGTTATTTGGGGACTCGGATTGTATTTCTGGAATAATTTTTTCAACACATTAACCATTTACAGTACATAATTACATAAGTACTATACTATAATTAGTTATACATGCCTTCATAAAAACACTACAGTGCTACATTAATTACTGTAATTACTGTATAATTTTTTTTTTTTTTTTTGGTTGAAGTGTCATTTGTATGCTGTTTGATGTTTCTGATTATTTGACCCTGTATACAATTCTCTGTTTGTTCGATAATTGTAAGTTGTGTTTGTCATCGTAAACTGAACTTTCATGTTGGTTATCTAATGTATTCTAATAATATAAAGCCATATAGTTTTAATGAATTTAAATTATTTGTTGAAATTTCTGTTTGTATTGAACATGATGAACTTAATTTTTTGTACTGTAACTTGAAAAAAAAATGCACTCAGAAATAATTTTTTGATGAAAAATCGCTGATATTGTGCTGTCGCAGATGGGAACAAAAATGCGTGGTAACTTCATGGCCGGCTATACTCATGCCTTCCATAAAACTAGTGGTCAATTCTGATTCTGCAGCAAAATGTTTTTTATCCAAAGGCTGAAGACAACTTACTACATTTGGGAGGAAAAGGGAACCTTTACATTGGTTAAGTTCAGATCATATATGCTATTGTCTGTACATCTGCTAAGTGTCGCAAGAGGTTTTTCAATTAAACAAGATGGAACATTTCTGAATGCAACCTTAGCTCACAAACAATAGGGGAAAAAATGGGAAAATATTGAATGTTTGTGTTAAATGACAAAATATAATGAAGCAAGGGGCTAAAAAACAGTTCATAATTCATGCTAACTGAAATTCACATTAACTGTTAAAATTGACCATAAGATCATACACATTGCTGCCATGACCAAAATTTTGTTCATATTAACCGAGTGATGTCATAAGTGAGTTCATGTTAAGGTGGGCTTACTGTATTTATCTATTTAAAAGTGCTCATTCAGCTTTGTTTTGAGAAAGTAATCTTTTGGGTATAATTTAATTTCTGATACTGGGTATCTGCCTCCCCCCCTCCTTTGTAATTGTGTGCTAAGCATAAACCTCCATCTTAAAGGAATTATCTTTTTTGGGGGGGGGCTAGAAAAAAGTAATGCTTTTTCTTAGTTTTTTTTTTTAAATACGTTTGCAATTTGTAATACTTTCAGTTATTTTAAAGAAGGCTTATTATTTCATTCATAAAAGTAATTCAAAATAATATTCATTTGCTATTTGCACTTAGTTAAAGAGTCGTCTGATTATAATTTTTTTTTTGGTTGAAGTGTCATTTGTATGCTGTTTGATGTTTCTGATTATTTGACCTGTATACAATTCTCTGTGTTTGTTTGATAATTGTAAGTTGTGTTTGTCATCGTAATCTGAACTTTCATGTTGGTTATCTAATGTATTCTAATAATATAAAGCCATATAGTTTTAATGAATTTAATTATTGTTGAAATTTCTGTTTGTATTGAACATGATGAACTTCATTTTTCCCCCCTTGTGTTTTCACTGTACTTGATTTAAAGCATTTTAATATTTATATTATAAGTGTTTACAAGTTTTTTTTTTTTTTTTTCCCCCAGCCATGTCAAAGCACTCGTTTTGTTCAAATGGGTGCTCTTTATTCTGAGCTTATAGCTGTAAATGCAAATGGTCAACTTTATCAATGGAAATGGACAGATGCTGAACCATATCGTTGCTCTGAGGTAATATTTTTTTATGGAAAAGAATATGTTTAACCTTTTCTCTGAACAGCATGATTAATTTTAGTGTTATTTTAAAAATCTTATAAAAAGAGAATTATTAATATTTTTCTCTGTTATTTAAGAAATGATTAAACACCTTAGGTCCATATTGTAGTAACAACGAATTGCCTTTTAGTTGCCAAAATAATGAAATTTGGAAAAAAGAAAGTATCATGTAATAGTTCATAAAATATATTGCTTGAAACCATTTATTTTCAGAATAAAACAAGCTCCTTCTGCAAAACAGTTAAAAAGACATTATTTGAACTGTGTTACATTGAAATAATCTTAAACCATCTTAAAGTTTGTGTATGGAGGAGGGATCTACATAAAAAGAGGATCTGGTGTTAGATTGAAATAATCTTAAACCATCTTAAAGTTTGTGTATGAAGGAGGGAACTACTTGGAGAGAAGATCTGGGTGTATTTTTGTATATGTTTTAGTAGTGATTATTTTAAAACTTTATTTTAAGTATTTCTTTATGCTTCAAAATAAAGCTTATTGAAGTTTGATTTTGTTGTAATTTAATGGTCCCAAAAGTAAACTAATTTAATGAGCTAAAACAAAACTTTTTAAAGGGGAATCTGAAATTTTAAAACTGTTTAAACTGGGCTAAAACTGTTTAAAGGGGAATCTGAAAATGTTATAATAGCAATTAATAAATTAAAAAAGTTACACAAAATTTCACTTAACATCATATTATTTTAAATTACTAAGCAATATCTTAAATGAAAATATATCTTACAGCAGTGCAGTTGTAAGGCTTTTTGAAATTTCTGTGAATTAGAATTAAGCAATAATATGAATTTATGAAATATGTTTAGTTAATTATATTGTAGCATTGGTATTTGCATTTGTAACGTTGCTGTATTAAGCTACATTTCCAGATTTCTTTTCTGAAACTATTTTACATTCAAAGATAAAACTTGAAAATAATGTTTTCTTTCCTTTTTTAGAGTCCTGGAATATTTCACCCAAAGACAATAAGTCTTGGTTTGAGTGGAGAAAAAATTGTCCTTCTTTCTTCATGTTCTGTCAGAGCAACTGTTGTTATGGAAAGTGGAAAATGTGCTACTTGGCTTGATGAAACTCTTGCCATGGTGTCTTCTAAATTAGAACATCCTGCTCAAATTTTCCCAGAGTTCCAACAAGAAAAAATAACTTCTCTACATGTGTGTTCGCTATATTCTTGTGTTCGCTTGGAATCTGGTACTATATATTGGTGGTAATGCAACTTTATTATTTTATTTTAATGTTTGGTGATAATGTATGTTATAAATAAATAAAATAAAAATTGTAAATACAAAAAACTGTTAAACATAAATTTACCCCTAGATATGTATGACAAATAAGTTTAGTTTAGTTTCTATGACGTTTGCTAAATTTGTATATGTCAAAGCACATGTTTTGTACAAATTAAATTTATATGTACTGAACTGAAATAGGAAATAACTATATATAGGACTAAATATTTGGAAATTAAAAAAAAAAATCTGATTGCGGAACACAACAGAATAAAATTATTATGGAAATGTTGCAGTATTTAAAAGGTAGCTCAATGTTCATTTATTATCAGTTATACTTCGTGAATCCAGGAGCACGTTTTAGTCAGATTTAGTATCAGTTATCAGTAATCTGCTTTTTAATTCTCTCAGTCTTTACTGTTGTTTAAATTGGTAATAAAGAAAAGAGAGATACAGGAAGATTTTTAAACTGACTGCAAATTCACATTTTGATGTGTGTTGCAACTTGCTACACCAAAATTTTATTTGAAGTTTATATGAATCTAACAGATAAAAATTTAATGCTTCCCCCTTTTTTTATTCATATTCTCAACAATAGTTAAAACTTAAAAAAAAAAAAAAAAAAGGGGTTAATTAATTACAAAATTCCTTTTATTCAAACTTTTACTATCAAACAAGTTACTGTCTCTATTCGATGACAGTTTAGTTAGGTCCTGTGATCTGTCCTTTTTTGTGCTTTGTTCACACATATAAAACACACCATAGAGCATAACTTTTTTGGCCATTAGCCATTGTCCTAATATATCTTAACAGAAGCCTGCTGTTCTAGTTAGTTCTAGGGGAATGTTTTCTTTGGAAAAACTTTACACAGTGTTTGTAATTATGGTAATGAATTATAGTAATGAAATCAATTTTAGCAAAGACTGATTCATATTTTAATATCAGTTGATTAAAATTAGAGACAGTACTACGGAACAATATGTCTATTTTATTTGTTGTTATCATGTATAATCTTTTTGGGAAGTAAAAAAAAAATCTAATCCTATCGAAATTTTGTATGCAAATTCCTTCATACCAAGTAAACAAATGATTTTTTTGGGGGGGGATAAGGAAATAAATTTTAAAGAATCTGAAGGCTTTCAGCTTTTATACAGTCAAAAGTCGTTAATCCGGTCTTGTCGGGACTTTGCCGATTCCAGTTTATCGATTTTTCCGGATTATAGATCATCAGTTTAAATCTGGTAAGATGGCATGTCAGAATTATAAAGTTAAAATATGAATTTCTGAAATAAGAATTTTATCTAAAGGGATCAAATTACAAAAAAAAAAAAAAAAAAAAAAAAAAAAGAGAAAAAAAAAGCTTATATATTTGTTTACTTTATGCGACATTTCTTTCAATATAAGTTTTTAGTTGCTCGTTTTTATAATAATACTTCTCTTTAATTCTATAAACAGATAATTTCTCACAGTTACAAAGTTTCTGCAGTTCAAGTAATATAATTGCTGTGGTCGAGAAAACACTAATTTGTCAATCAAAATTTTTTCGTTTTCAATAACCCTGTGTTTTTCTCACGGAAGCGAATTAATGACGAGGTATTTATTTAAATCATATCAAGGGGATACATCGAGTACTTATAAGCCAGTAAAATAAAAATCTCTGCGCTGAAGATAAGGATAGTGCGGACAGATCAACTTCCAATTCATTGGGCCGCAACATTCCCCCCTTACCGGCAGAGCAGCATGAAAGTGATAAACAATTTTGGAATGTTAGAGAAACAAAGGATATGCCTTTATCCATTTTTTTGCAGCAATTCCATTTTGTTTAATGGACTTCGAGCATACTTCGCTTTGTAATGTCCTTTACTTATTAATATATCGGAAATTCTTTTGACATCATGAAATTTCGAGCTTACTTTTTAAAATTTGCTCTAACAGTTGCAAAAAATATTAAGTGGATCCAATTTGAAGATTAAGGAACAACACAATCGCAGCATTAACTGAACTAATAATTACATAATTTAGCTTATACATCCTTATACAAAGCGCATGCGTAACATATTATGCGCATGCGTCATGAGACGCATACGAGAAAGGTAGCTTTGAGTCCGATTAAGATCATTCCGGATTAAGGGTGTCCGAATTACGACTTTTGACTGTATTATGCGCAAAGCCTTTTTTAAACGTTTTGTATTACCTTTATTTATTAAATATCACGTTCTTTGCACTTAAACCATAAAATTCAATTCAGCAGCATTATTACAAAATATTTGAAAGAGCAATATATTTATTAAATGTTATGTTCTTTGCACTTAAACCATAAAATTCAATTCAACTGCAATATTACAAAATATTTAAAAGAACATATATGTAATTTCAGATATACGGTCTCACGCGCTGGAGATAAAAATGTCCCCCCCCCTCCTTACAGTGTTGCTATTGCTCGCTTTGAAATTGTTGAGTTTCTTAATAAAAAACTCGTAAATGCTTTAGAGAATATGAAATAGATAAAACAAATTCCAGACTCCAAATTTTGGCTTCCAGTTGCCCATATTTGGGTGGAGATGTACATTATTCAAAATTTGATGGCTCTAGGTATTGTTGTTTTCTCACAATGCGAGGAACATAGATACATTTATACAGATTCTTCATGATTTAATTTCTTTTAAATATAATACAGGGCTCTTAATATTTGGTGGCAACAATTTAAAAAATTATTCTCCGTTTAGGGTGAATCAACGCAAAATGCCAAAATAAAATTATTAAATAGCCCTTTTGGGCAAAGGCCCATGAGCTAAAAAATATAATCATATAAAAATTTTGTGTGTAATTTACTTCATGCCAAGTATGCAAATGATTAAATTTTTAAAGCCAGTGAGTGTTAATTTTGGTCATAGCACTCTTTTCTACACCACTACTAGTAACACATAAAACAGGTAACAATTGTAAATGATTTATCTTGTTGTTGGCATTGCAGTTCTCTGGGGAGACAACCAATAATGCAGTTATGACTTTTTAGAGACTTTATAGACAACTGGATGACTTTGAACGTGGTTATGTAGTAGAGATGTGTAAAGTGGGTTGGTCATATGTGTGAAGTTGGTGAGTGATAGACTGCCATCTGCACCATATGGCAGTGCGTAGCTAAAGTGGGACTAGAGATGATATCTGTCCCTGGGTACAGCATTCAGTAGGTGCCAAATTGATGTAGTGAATTTTTAGAATGCAATGTTTTCCATTCTTGGCAAACAGGAGGGGGCACGGAATCTTCAGGTCTCTGTGCTAAAAACTTCACAACAGCTCTGCATACATACATGTCAGCACAAAGGTGCTAGTAACAGTGTTTGTACAAGGTGCTTACTGGTGAAATTAAGGTTCCGGAAGGTGAAGGTGCATGAATGTGAGACAAGATCAGATGATTGTGCAACAAGTCCAAACTGCCCCAGTGGCATCATTATCTGCTATCCAATGTGCTACAGCCTCTTTCTTCCATGCTACCCCTGGCACAATCTGCTATTTCGTAGTGGTAAGATGAGGCAGAGTTGTGTGCATAGTGGCCTTTTATGATGACTGCTTTTAATCCCACAATATTGACAGAGTTGTTTGTGGTGCTGTCGCATTTGATCATCAGGACTGCCATCTAACTGCCATTGCATAATATTCAGCAATTAATCCTGCTTCATTCTTGGAGCAGATGACCGTTGGGTGGGCCAGGAACCCTACTAGCCTTCGTTTTGTAGGGGCACACAGCTATTAACCTGGTGTGAGGGTGTAGGATATCTCTTATGGCATCAGTTGACTATAGTCACCTGAGTAAACTTTAACAGCTGAACGGTATGTTGATGACATCCTGGAGCTGTTTGCATTACCCTTTATGACACACTATCCTAGAGTCATTTTACAACATGCTAATGCTAGACCCCATATGGCTTGTATATCTTTGGACAGTCTTCAAGCTGTTGTTGCTCTTCCTTGACAGCAAGGTCACCAGACCTTTCCCCATTCAGATATGTAGGGCAGACAGCCAGATTCAGGCATCTCGGAATATCACAGATCTCGAGTAACAATTGAGAAATGCCTGGCAGAATGTATCTCATGATGAGATTAGGAATTTTTATTGGTCCAAACCTCAACGTTTATAAGCATGCACTGTCTCCAGGGGTGGTTTCACCATTTACTACCTTTATCATCTTGGAATTTTAATCATTTCATTATCTGTATATGAACTTTACTCATATTTAATTTCAATAAGTACTGTGACTTTTTTCATGGTGCTTCTTTCACCCCATTTTAAAAGAGCATATTTTCTGCATTGAATATTGAAAAATTAAAGATGAAACATTCAGAGGCTTTTACTTGAATGAAAAACTTCAATTTTAAATGAAAAGGTTTTAAAAAAGTATTAGTAGCCAGTGAAACATAGCTGATAAGTTAGGAATTTCAGTTTCAGCCTCGACTGTCACAATAGAAAGTATAGCGAAGAACATGTTTTCAAAATACATCTGTAGAGATAAAACTATAAAAAGAAGCTCTTATTTTGAAACTGAAAAACAGTTTATGAAAGCCAGGTTGAGAATCATTACCCTAAAAGTCCTCTTTTAAAGGAGCATGCATAGAATTTACTGAAGAATTTGGTATTTCTAATTTTGCTGCAACATGGTTGCCCTAATCATTTTAAGAGAAAGCACATTTTGCAAAAGATTATGCACGGCAAAGGAAAATGTTAAGCTTAAATTAGAAAAATGAAACTTTTCCTTGAAAATCTCAAGGAAAAGTTTTCCTTGAAGTATTTTCAGCATAATGTTGATAAAACTTTTATTTATTTATTATCTTTTTTATTGATTATAACTAAATGAAACACTGTTTTTAGACTATAAAAATGTTGTGACAGTTAGAAAAAGGAGACTCTTTAACTTCTTTTAGCAGCAAATGTTGATGGATGTGGAAAACTGCAATTGTTTGGTAGCTTTGTAAAGCTGAGATA